GGTGTCTAGATGCTCCATGGCGTAATACAGCTGTCTCTTCTCCCCGAGGGAACGAAGGATGAAGCGCTGGATGTCCTGAGCAGGGCAGGGACAGAGGAGAATGGAGACATAAGGAGGAAGGGAGGGAAAGATGGAAAAGAGGGCGGCCCTGGGTCGTATGGGACATTCGCACGCTCGTGAGACCCTCACCAACTCTGACGCTGCAAAGGGTCCATTTTCAGTGTCTGGCTTCAAAGCAAGAGACCACCTGAGAGACTCTGAATGAGCGTGTGTGTGTGTGTGTGTGTACACATTTGTGCACACAGGCAGACATAAGATTAAAGGAAGAGAATACTTTTGGGGTTAGACTCCCAAGTAAACACAACCTGATATGTGGGGGCAGGGAGCAAAGGCAGAAGTAAGAACCTAGCCCTGGGTACCTCTTCAGTGGCTAGAAAGCTTGAGTAAGAAGCCAAAGTAGAGTAGAATGTGGTCTCGTACACTTTAAATCCCAGCACTTGGGAGGCAGAGGCAGGAGGATCACTGTTAGTTAGTTCCAGGCCAGCCTGGTGTATATAGTGAGTTCTAGGCCAGCCAGAGCTATATATTGAGATTCTGTCTAAAAATAAATAAATAAGCAGGTAGATAGACAGACAGACAGACAGACAGACAGATGCTTCAGTAGTTAAGAGCACTTGTTTATCTTGCAGAGGACCCAGGTTCAGTTCTCAGCACCCACATGGTAATTCACAACCATCTTAACTTCGTTCCAGGGACTTCTATTCCATTCCATACCACACCATCTTTTGTTGTTGTTGTTACTGCTGGGTTTTTGTTTTTTGTTTTTAGTTTTTGAAGACAGGGTTTCTCTGTCCAGTCCTGGCTGTCCTGGAACTCACTCTGTATATCAGGCTGGCCTCGAACTCAGAAATCCGCCTGCCTCTGCCTCCCAAATTCTGGGATTAAAGGCGTGCACCACCACTGCCCGGCTACTGCTGTTGTTTTAAGACAAGGTCTTGCTATGTAGTCCTGACTGTCTTGGAACTCACTCTATAGACCAGGCTGGTCTTGAACTCACAGAACCCTGTCTGCCTTTAACTTCCAAAGTGCTGGAATTAAAGGAGTGCACCACCACACTGGCTCCATGCCCTTTTCTGACCTTTGAGAGCACATACATGCAAGCAAATAAAATAAAAATAAAAATAAAAATAAATAAATAAAATAAAATAAAAAAAGAAGCCAAATGAAGTCTAGCATCTAGGCCACTCCTGGGTGTTTGCCTTGTTCCAGACCCTACCTATCAATGAGTGTGGGGCAAGGATTACCTCTCGTGGTCCCAGGCCAGGTCTTGGCTCTCCCAGCTGAGTTTGGTACTGATTCAGAGCCTTTTTGGCAGCCTCATCCTCTGGGTAGAAGAGCAGGAAACTCAGGACATTTTCCATGGCCTGAGACACATTCCCCACTGGAGTTGGAGGAAGGTGAGAAGGGGTGGGACACAAACAAGACAGAATGAAGTTGAAGGTCACCTGGGGAGACTGCCATCTCCAGGAAGTCCCAGACCGATTTCAGGATGTGCCCACCCAGTGCTTCTTTCAAACATACCTTCAATGGCAGAGTTCAAAGAAGAGGAATCAGGGAGAAAATGAAAGAGAAGGGAGAAGCAACCAGGGCTGAAGGACCCTGTAACCCATCTCCTGAGCTCCGCACAATGGTGCCAAAGGACACCATCCTGATGTGGCGGTCCCCATCGGGGAAACTAGCAATGCAGAGTCAGATGGAAAGGAGAGAGGGATGCAGCTCAGAATGGCATTAGAGACAAATCTCCACTCCCAGGCTCCATCCGTCCCAAGCTGACCCTGAATGTAGGCTTCATGCAGCCGTCTCAGCTGGCTGGGGATGAAGTCCTGGACTGGGAAGCTGCGACCAGGACGAGTGGCTGTGTCTGCCACACAGTGCTGCCGGCACTGCAGAACCTGTATCCAGTGTCCTGCAGAGAACACAAATGAGACTTCGGCTGTGTGGTTCCTCCTCCGTCGTGGGTGGGCGTGGGTGCTCTCCCTCAGCACAGCGTCCACGGCGTGGGTGCTCTCCCACAGCACACGGTGGTCCGACTCCTCACCTGCAATGGCTTCATACAGGCCTCCCTGGCTCCCTTCCTCCTTCTCTCCTTCAGCCCATTGGTGCTCCTCAGGTCCCTCACAGCCAGCACGGCAGCTCTCCATGTGGGCCAGGCTCCCCTGGAGGGCCTCCTCGAGTTTGGGTAGAGCCAGTGCTGCCTCCTGTCGCTCCAGAAGCTCCAGGCCATTGTCATAAGCTGCCTGTGGGGAATGGAGCCGTTAGTCACCCGAAATGAGTGTTGGAGGGGAGGTACCAAGGAAAACTGAGGGGTCAAAGGGCATGGTGACATATGCTTTAAACATGTCATATGCCCCTAGCACAAAGGAGGCAGAGGCAATCAGATCTTACTGACTTTGAAGCCAACCTGGTCTACATAGTGAGTTCCAGGCCTGCCAGGTCTACACAGCAAGACCCTGTTTCAAAAAGAAGATAGGGAGGTGGGAAAGAAGCAAGCTTATCTGGGACCTTGAAATCTGTATCCTATTTCATACACCCAGAGGAAGAACGGAATTGGGACGTTAGAACAGCACACTTTAGCGGCCACAGAGGAAGCCGGGTGCCAGGGAAAGACTCTCCACGCAGCGCCTCTGAGGAGCAGTCCCCAGATCTCCTGATGCTCAAACTGCACAAGGCTGGAGCTGGCAGTTTTCAGCCAGCACTGAGGAGCTCACCCAGTATAGGGGCGTCACCAGGTCCTGGAAGCTCTGGGGTCGGATTGCAGACATCCTTCTGTACTTAGCCATGTCTTCTCGCATCTGCAAGTGTGTTGGGTTTGCTACAAAGAAGGTGTGTGCTGCAGAAGCCGCCAGGTCCAACTTCTTCAACTAAGGATCCAAAGGAATGAGATATGAGTCCAGAGTGATGCGTGTGTGTGTGTGTGTGTGTGTGTGTGTGTGTATGGGGTGGAGTTGGTGGTGATGGTG